GATGAACCGTCAGAGGCATTCATGCGGGAAGAACACTTTGATTCCATTCAAAGAGCGAGGCGCCCATCAGCCCTCCCTCGCCCCACTCCATCTTCCGCCTGCCCCCCTCCGTGACCCCCCGCCTCTTTTCCTTAGTGTGACTTGTGGGACCGTGTTTGCTAGTGACCGTTATTCGTCGTTGTCAGCCGCCCTAAATTCAGGGAAGGTCGAAAAAATTTTAATGAAGGCAGAAACATGAAAATGTGGAAACCTGTTCACTGAGGCGCGCGGATATAGCCTTGCATTAAGCGGATTAGCGAGATTTTTTTGAGAGCTAGTGGAAGGGAACTCGCGAGAGGACACGACTAAAATCAGGACGAGAAGAGATCGGCGGTTGGGAGGAATCCGCGTGAGGTGGAGGGCGCGCAGGAGGCGGGCGGCGCGAGCATTTAGCAGACCGCTCATTAAAACACCGTGAGACGTCATGAGCTAGATAAGAGAGTGACATGGCACTAAGTTTAGCCCGAGTGCCGCAGTGCCACGCATGTTTAATCGCTCTTACGAAACGCGAGAGCCTGAATCAGCGGAAAGGGCAGAACCGACGAGGCTCGTAGGTCGCAGATTACGGTATGAGATTAATCAAGGCGCCTGGCGTGCGCGTGGCATCGCGCGACGCGAAATAACGGAGGCAGGAGATATCACGTGATGTGGCGTGGCCGGAGGAAGCTGCACGCATGCGGAGTGCCACGGCTCAACAGGGGTACTCGAGGCGTGGCACGGGGGGGGGGGGCAGTGGTGAGATGACAAGTGATTTCGAGGCGCAAGGTGGCATTGAGTACAAGGCATTTTTTCCCGCTCTCCCGCGCCCCGTCTCGGTTTCTCAGACAAGTTCTCGTCCGACCTGTAGCGTGTATTTTAAGACCAGAAAGTGCACTTCCCTTCTATCCGGTCTTGAGCTTTTTTTACTCGCTTTATTGGTAAGTTGCTTGAGCGTATGCACGTATTCGTCCAAAGTTGCTTTTTATGGACGTGTGGAAATCAGTTTAAGGTACTAAACTCTCCTCTCTCATTTGCCATCATCTCTCTCTCTCTCTCTCTCTCTCTCTCTCTCTCTCTCTCTCCTCTCTCTCTCTCTCTCTCTCTCTCTCTCTCTCTCTCTCTCTCTCTCTCTCTCTCTCTCTCTCCTCTCTCCCTCGACCACTTTTTGTGCGATCATCAGGTAACAAATGAAGACCAGCTTGGTGGCCGAGAGGCTGGCGAGCGGGGCGTGGGGGAGAGTGCAGTTTCGTGGGTGGGGTTGGGTGGTGGCGGGGGGGGGGGCGCCTGGTTTGGGGAGGTAAGTACGCCCGTGAGAGGTGCTGGTGGGGCTGGGTGGTGGGAATGCCGCCCGTGTTGTTGGCGCTGCGTCGCCCTTCTGTTTAGCAGGTCTCGTATTCTCTCTTTCTCTTTGTTCGTTCGTTCGCTCGCCCTTTTTACTTTCTTCCTTTCTTCCTTGTTTTACTCTGTTCGGTGTTATGGCTGTTTTTTTGTTTGTTTTTGTTTTTGTTTTTGAAATAAAGAATTTTGTTTGGGATTTAACGTCCGCGTGTTGGGTCATGTCACTCTTGCTGTCTGCGTGTCACCAGTTGACTCCCCAGCTCCTTCCCCTCTGTCTGCCCCGCCCCGCCCCTTTCACTTCCTTTCCCCTACATTCCCCCTCCTTTCCCCTTCACTTCTCCGCCCCTTCCTTTTTTTCTTTTTTCCTTCCCCTTCCATTTTCTTTTTTTCTTCCACTTCCCCTTTCCTCTCTTTTCTTTTTACCTTCCCCCTTCCCTTCCCTTTTCCTTCCCCTTCCCCTGCCGTCCTCTCCCCCTCCCCCAGGCCCCTAGCCCTCACCCTCCCAGCCCGGCCGCCCCGCCCGCCCCAACACGGCTGAAGCTTTGCCCTTTTACACAAAACGCAACAGGTTTGGGCGGCGAGTCTGAAAATACCTCCATTTCGATCCCTGTGGCCCCGGTTTTTTTTCTTTCTTTTTCTTTATGATTTGTCTTATTTTTCTTTTTTTATATGTGTCGTGTTGATTTGATTCGTTTCTCCGTTTTTGTTTTTCCCGTCTTTCTTCACCTGACTGTTCTTTGATTATGTATTTTTTATTGGTTGAGGTAAGTTCAGCAGAAAAAAAAAACGATGGAGATTAATGGCCCAAAAAAGGTATGAAGGAGGAAGGACAAAAGAATAAAGAGATAAATAAGAAAAGAAAATGAAAATTAAATACGTGGCGGAAGAGGGCGAGATTATGAAACGAGAGGACAGGATGCATTAGACATGGGAAGGAAAATAAACGTGATGACGAGAGAAAGGAAGAATAAAAAAGGGCTTATGTGTAACTTTATGTATATTTATGTATGGATATATGTGTAAAACACACAGAGACGTGGACGTATACGCACACGCACGCATACACATGCACAAGGACACGCATACACACACACGCACACACACAAACGCACACACACACAAACGCGCGCACACACAAACGCGCGCACACACAAACGCGCACACACACACACACACACACACACACACTAGATGGAGGTCTACACTGAATTCTGAGGAAAACGCAGGAGGGAAGGATAAACGCGAAGGGGAGAACAGGAGACGAGCCGAGACGTCCAGAGGAGGAGTCCAGCCGGAGGGAAGCCGAGACGCCCAGAGGAGGAGTCCAGCCGGAGGGAAGCCGAGACGCCCAGAGGAGGAGTCCAGCCGGAGGAGCCCAGCCGGAGGGAAGCCGAGACGCCCAGAGGAGTGTCCAGTAGGAAGCCAGCCCGGAGAGGTCCAGCCGGAGGAGCCCCAGCCGGAGGGAAGCCGAGACGCCCAGAGGAGGAGTCCGGAGGCCGAAGCCCGGAGGAGGAGTCCCAGGAGGAGCCGGTCCAGTCAGCCGAGACGCCCAGAGAAGGAGTCCAGCCGGAGGGAAGCCGAGACGCCCTGAGAAGGAGCCCAGCCGGAGGGAAGCCGAGGCGCTCCTCCTGCACGAGGATCAGCGGGAGGGAGAAGTCCGTTTTATCTGCGTAATAAGACCAGAGTTCCGTTCCGTGTGGCATTTCCTCGTCCTGACCTTGCGTTGATCACGGGCGCCGCTCTGAGGGAGGTTTTGCTCGCGTGTGCGTGTCTCGTACGCCATGGGAAGGTAGTGCTGTGTTCCTACGCTCTGGTACCTTCCTTTCTTTTCACTTTTTCCACTTTTCCTTCGTTTTCTTCTTTCTTGCTTTCTTCCTCCTTTTTTCTTTGTTATATGTACGCTATGCTTCTTATTCTAAACGTGACACCAGTTTTCGGTGCTTTTGTTTCGAGTTTCTCCTACACCCTTCCTAGGAAACATTATCTGCCCCCTCATAGCCTTATAATGACTCATCTATAGGTAGGCATCAATTCGATTCTGTTTCCTTCCTGTTTTTTTACCTCCTCCTTTGATCTGTTTTGTCTTCCTTCTTCTCCCATTCAACCTCTT